TGAAACATTTCTCAGTTTGTTTGGGAATAATTCAATAGCTCATTTTTATTTTCTGTTTCTCTCAGAGCAAGGTGGGCATGCTCCAACCATAAAATCCCTGAACCTGAAATCACTGCTTCAACTAAATCCTCAGAACTCAAGCCTACAAACTCAGGGTATATCTAATCTAGGTTCTGTTGTCTAACAATTGAACCCATTCTGTCATTTACAGATTTGTTAGTGCAGCAGTTAACCACTGTTCAGGCTGCCTGCCTTTCTAAAATCTTTCCAAGAAAAGCCGTTGGAATATCTGAAGGCCATTAGACAAGCTATTCTCAGCAAAGATGAAGTTCACTCTGATTATCAAGCAGCTGAAATACCTCAGCAGAATTTACTGTCATGCTCTAGAAGACTTCTTTCAAGCTGAAAATAGTGCATGATATTTACAACGGCAACCTTGAACTGAGAGGCTCCTCCCCAGACAGAGGCTTTTGTTCCAAATTACTTTTTAAATTATGATGATTATTATGTGCAGTGTTATAATAAATGCAATTATTCTGCCATTTCTATCAAAAATATTGCATGGAAAACAAAAGAAATGCTAAACTGAAGCTAGCTCGTGATCTTCTATTACACCTTCACACTGTACAGCTGATACATCTGCCGCATCAGAAAGTTTCGGCACGTTGCCTGAACTTGTGCACTGTGGTTATGGTGACAGAAAAAATAGCACATGTAAAATCTGATAGGACTGCAGCTTATCCCTGTTGCCATTACCATTGCTTCAAGAGCTCTAAATAGCTTTCTATTCCAGCTTCTGATTATTCTCCACAAATTGAATGCAGCACAGTACATGAATGGCTGGTTTCAAACAAATAATCTGAACATACAGTTTGACAAGTATGTCATGTTTAGCTTTCTTAAAGGTCTGAAAAAACTACTAGCATTCCAAGTATTTTCAAGTATATGAATTTTGAGACCCAAACTACAAATGCCTTATGTTTGCCAATTCAGGCATGAGCTGCTTGTTTCTGCATGTGTGCTCATATATCTGTAAAGGAAAGAAGTGCTTTTGGCATTCTCAGGCATTTATTTATGCATTTTTTGGGCACAGTTTAAGAGGCTGCTTCTCCAGCTAGCCACTGTTATTGTGCCCTGTGTCCCCCTTAAGGTATCTGTTATCATTTTAATAATGGTATGCATGCAGTGAAGATCTTGGGAGCATCTGATATTAAAAAACTTTGCCAAAATCTGCCAGCAGCACCTCTGTAAGAGCCCCAGGGCACACTGTTGCAAATCAAAACCCTTCTACTCTTCCATGCATAGTTTAATGGTGGCCTTAAAATATTTATGAAAGTGGGTTCTTTGTGCTTTGCCACAGCCACACCAAAATACATTCTCACTTTGAAGATTTGTAAGCATGCCATGTACACACCAAGACATTAGACAGCAGAAAGCAGCATTCGAGGAAGATAAAGCAATACTTCAGGAGAAACAAAGAAGAGAGAAAGCAGAGTTTTCTAGCCAAATGTTTCCCATCTCTGTAGGTCAAGTTTTATGCTACTACCTGTCTCTTTTATGCTTGCCCTGTAAAATCAGTGTCAGTCGCAAGGGATTCATGAAGTCTTTGACTCTTCTCCTTTGCAAAGGTCAGGGCTTCACTTTTTAATTAGAAAAGCAAAAGGTGAATGAGCCTGACCATGAACACTGTTGCCTTTATTACGTGACTTAAGAGGCTCAAAGACTGCCAAAATATGTTAGGGCTTTTTGGGGGTGCCCAGCAGGGAAGGGGTGGTGGTGGCATTACAAAGTTACGCAGTTTCTTGGAAAAAGGAGGCAATGTTTGAGCTTAAGCAATGCAGTGGCAGTCACAGGACTAAACAATTACTGTACCTATAGCTGGAAGTGCAGAGTGGCCACATATATGAGTTCAAACTGATGACAGTATTGTCATCCAAATGTTTGTTTATTTATTTTTTTTAATAAATGTTTCTTTTCTGTTCATTGGAATTGTGCCTTTTGACAACTCCCTTCTGCCCCCATGGTAAAAAAAAAAAAAAAAAACAAAAAAAAAAAAAAAAAAAAAACAAAACTGTAAGAAGGCTTGGAGCTGGAGAGCTGGGAGGTTTTAGGTTTGTTTTATTTTACTTCTCCAGGGAAGTGCAGGGAGAGGGCAAAAAGACAGACTGAACACGTTTTGATTTTGGAAAATTTTACTATTTTTGTATTTTTTCTAAGAGAAATAGAAACATCGCTGGCAGTATGAAAGTTTTGCTTCTTATAAAAATTGTCATTGGAAAGATGTAAATTTTTTTGTTTAGCTTTGATACTTATTGCAATATGTCTAATGACTAACCAGCTTTGTTTCCTGTGTTTCAAAGATCACCTCAGTATTTCCAGTAAATACATGTTTTGCCTAATCTTGATATATCTAGGTATTCCTAGAATGATCTTCCGCACGGATTCTGAAATGAAACGTAAATTTCTGAATAACTTTGTTATTCCTAATAATTGTTGTTATTTATTTAGAAGCAAGTTAAAAAAAAAAAAAAAAAAAAGACAGAGAAACTGCATGTTTCCCTCAGCTTTTACCAAAGCACTCATGCACAGACATGCTTACCACCTGTTTCATCTCTGTGTATGATATTCAGACTAGAATTTGGGGGGGAGAGGTGGCGTTGGGTCCATTGATTTATTTTTTATTTTGCCAAAGCCAGGCTTAACAACCTCCATTGAATACATATCTACACCTCTCATGTCTTCCCTAATTGTTCCTTCAATCTCTCCACTAAAGTGTTCTGCTTTGGTAAACTTTTGCCTGTCAAAGTACTTCTCTAGTTTACGGCACACATTTCTTTAAACTGTCATTGCTATCTTCAGTGTTAGACCATTTCCTGGTTTCTTTATGATAACTGTCTCCAGAGTTATCGTGTGATATGTTGTTTACTGGATCTGCTATTTCTTACATAATGATCTGAATTGAAATATTAAGAAGTATTGAAACCAAGGCTTAGCTCTAGAATTTTTCAACCACCTTTCTGTCTGTATCAGATCATACTCATAATATTTTTCATTTAATTTTCTATCTGGATTTATAAAAGATGCTATAGAAAATTTGCCTTATAAAAAATTTATTGAGGAGCAATATTCTACAAGAAACCTGAGTAACATTCACCAGTAATATTTTTTGCTTTTACCCCTTTGCTTATATATATGTTTGTATGCCACATAACATGAAGACATGAGTGGCCCATAATTTCCAGAAACAATTAGGTAGGGTTCTGTTTCCTACTGAAGCCTCTTTTCTTTTCCTCCAAAGATTGCACAGTTTTGTAGTTAGCAATCCTTTCTGTTATTCCTATTTTCATTTTATATATCTTACCTCATTCATGAAATTTCTTCCGAAGGACATAAGTTAGCATTAATATAGCAAAAAAATCCTAAGTAATTGCGTGCAAATGAAAGACCTTGTTACATACCTATATACCCTGATTGAGACTAATGGTGGACTAATTTTAGTATTCTCTACTTTTTTCAGCATTGTAACATTCTGCCTGACCCTTTCTCTAATGTCTGAGTGTTTTGCCCGCATTGAATGACTGCTGAGCATTAAGGAGATATATCACCATTTCCTCTGATGGTTATTTAAAAGAGATACTGCTTTTATTGCCTATTCCCATCATAGGAATCATAGTACTCCTTACCTCTTGCTACATCTATTCCATTTTCGTTTAACTCAAGATGCTTCTTATTTCCTATTTTTCAGCTTGCTGTTAAGGTATTTGTTAGCAGTAGCACCTATCTTGGTTCACCTTCTGATTTCATGAGAGAAGAAAAAATATATCTTCCACCACAAAGATCTTCTCTGAAAAGAATGCTTTGTATTTCTGGATTGCCTATAACCTTCCCGCATGCCTCCATTTACTGGTCTGCAACAGGGGAATAATAATGCTTACCCAGGGCTTAATTATATACTGCTGGGATTTTATTCAAGGTATTTGGGAAAAACAAACTTAGGACTCCTTCCTCTTCTGCTTTTTTTGCCAGGTACCTAAATACCCTCTGTTCACTAATTTCTTGCTTGCCCTAAAACGGTTTTCTCTTGTATTCCTTCTCCTACTGAAGTAAGGCACAAGTGTCTGTTTAGCCATGGTAGACACATCTTTCTTCTTTCAACGCAATGGTACTTCATTGTACAGCGTTTTCTCTCAGGACTTCCGAGACTTTTGCTTTTGCCAAAAGTAGGGTAATTAAATTGCCTCATTAAAACGAGGTCCTATGACTATAAAGTCCCCCAGCTTTCTCAGGGAAAACTCTCTACCCTCTCTCTGACAGACCATCCCAGCAGATCTTTCCCCTTTCACCCTATTTAATGAAACATTACCACTTAGTTTGTTACCTATCAGTTTTTCTTGTGCTTTACAGGTAGTTTACCCCAAGCCCAACACCTCATGGGACACACATCCTGACCAAGAGCATCCCAAAGCAAAGGCATGTTCCAGATGACTCATCCACACTACCCTTCCCAGTGACAGTGGACACTGAGGATGTTGCTAAGCACACCCAGAAGTGCCTTAGAGAAGCAGAAGATGGGCAGAAAGCAAGAGGATTATTCAGCACAAAGAGGCAGCACACTCTATCCCAAGTCAAGTTGCCTGTCTCCTCCTTCCTAAGTGCTCCAGGCCTGCTTTCTCTTTTTGTTTTGAGCCTGTAGGAAGCATGGGCTCTGCAAGACAAAATCTGCTCCTCTTCACTCTGCAAAGGACCCCCACACCCCTTACACACCGCTCTGCCTTAAGTCAAGGTGATGGAGCCAAAAGTCTCACGTATCCCTACTAATGGTAATATTAGCACATATTTTGTCACTGTTATGCAGGAACATCCCATACTGTGGATGCAAAGGTTGGAAATCAGCTACCACCGGAGCAGCCCTTCCCAGCACCCCGCTCCCAGCCCCGCTGTCGTCAGCTGCCCCGCACCCAGAGAGGCGATGGCGGCTGTGTGGGGCCGGCCGCACTCACAGCACACAGAGGCAGTAGACTCCCGGGATGCTCTCGCTGTCCCGCAGCAGGTAGCTGCCATCAGTGCCCGCTGCCAGCAGCAGCTTCTCCCCAGCCTCACGGGTGATGGCCCCATGGTAGATGGGCAGCGCGTCCATGCTGGGGCCGCCTCCCGCTGCGGGCAGCTCTCCCTGTGCGCGGCACTGCCTCCGACTGCTCTTCAGATGTGTGCTCCCCTCCACATCTCCGTCTCGGTGGCAGATGTAAACAGGATGTGTTCACACCTCTGAAACCTCCGCACAGGGCGAGACACCACTGAGGGAAGAGTGGGGAACGAGCACAGGTTTTTTGTGTTTATTTTTCCTTTGCCCCTTTTTGTTTTCCTTTTTCACAGGCTCTAACATCCTCACGGCATCACAGCTTGCACACAGAGGTGTCATTTCACAGCCCACCCTCACACACACAGCTCCTTGCTCAGCAGTGATGTGACATGATAAAGTGCACAACGGCCGCGAGACCGATGGCAGCGCTGGGTCAGGGCAGGGAGGCCACCACCATGGCACCGCTGTCAGCGGCTGCTTGCTGGGTGCTTGTCTCCTCTGGCGTTAACCCAAGGGGAGACAAAGAAGGACGAAGCAGGACCCCAAAGGCCCTCCGCAAGGCAAGGATTATTTTTTAACCTCTTATTTTTAAAATCCCCAGGGTTGAGAAACCAGAAGAAGCAAGCTGGCTTGGCTGTCCCAACCGCACCAAGCTACTCGCCTTGGGCCGCGGGTGCGGAGCATGGCCCCTGCTCCACAGCAGCCCCACAGACACCTGCCCCCAGCTGATTTACCTCATGAGTGGCTATTTTCGTAGGCTTTGGTGGTGTTTAATCACTGTAAAAATGTCACTGTCAGGGGTGCTCATTATCTCTGCTTGGAGGCAGGCAACAGCCGTGATGCAGGCAAGGAGGCCCCTCACATCCTTCCTGATGCCATCTGTGCCACTGCCGCCTTTGCGTGGTTCTCAAACGGGCAGCCAAAATCCAGAGACATGTCTGAAAAAGCCATTTCTCTCACCTGTTGTGGTCACAGACATTTCCTCAGTACACTTGCCACTTGAAAGTGCCCATACACACGTGCTTGCAAACAGGTCTGTTTGCAAACAAGTTGAAAATGTACTTTTATGCTCCCCATAGATATTTCCACCCATAGAAAAACTGAGCATGTTTCCTGGCACTGAGTGGCACCGCGTGTCAATGACAAGGCGGCACTGCCCCTGCACCCACGGCTGCCAGGGCTGCAGCGAGCTCAGGGATTAATTCATCCCTGGTGCGAGGCCACTGCACTCCCCTGATGAGCCACGTTCTCACATCTGAGTGTATGAGTAATAACTCACTAAAATATAGCAATAAGAACTGGTCATGCTTATGATTGATTCGTTTTAAATTGAGTTTGCTAGCAGGACAGGGCAGAGAATGAAATCATCTCACCCAGGTGTTCACAGAATACTGTGTCCTGGTTGAAGTTAAGGATGGGTGAAAAAATAGCTCTCTAGATACACACACTTCAGGAACCAAAATTAAATTAAAAAACACCAAAAGTAAGGGCTGCCCTTTTTAAGTTTCAATCAAACAAAATGTTTTCTCTTGATCATTTCATAGCACATGTCTTTCAATTCTGACCTTTAATATAGTTTTTCCTCAAAAATATTTCTTTCAAGCTAGTTTTAGCTTTTCCTTTTAAAGGATGGGCATTTCTGACCAGTGAGTCACAGGGTAGGTCGTGCATGGGGCACTGCACCAAAGTCACTGATGGCAAAGCTGCAGCTTTCGGAGGCATCATGAGCCTGTTGCCCTCAGGGAGAGCCCAGCAAGCAGCTGCCTCCCTGCCTGGCAGCTGAGGGGCTACAAAAGCTGCAGAAAACCTCAGCTGGAGAGGGACTGAAAACTTCCACCACTGTGTTTATGGTTTTCCTATCTTGCTACGCAAGTGTTCATTACCCTGTTTACGTGAACCTGGGGATTCAGCTATCCTGCTCGCTTTTTTAAACCAGTTGTTAAAGTATTTGCACAGAAAAGTAGAGCTGCTGCCTACTGCAAATGTGATTAATGTGGATGGTGACAAGGTATAAGCAAAGCACTGTTCCCTCGTAAAGATGCTGCCTATTTTTTCTCCTGTTTCAAACTACCTGTACTCTTGGGGATTTCATCTGTCTTTCCCATTTCTTAACCTATTCTCAGTATTAATAGCTGATTTCAGAAAAAGTATGTGTGTAGTTAGCTGGACAGGAAAAGCAACCAGAATCATTCAGTTCTACAGATCTCTTCCCCACTCATCAGATTTCAGCTAAAGCATAGGTGGAAAATCATGAAATTTTTACTATGAGATGCTCTCTTACTAAGGGAGTCACCACATTACCAGGCCAGCCTGAATACTCCCAACACTTTGATGAAGCAGTATCTCTTACTGTAAAAGAGCTGTAAACATCAAGTTTTGCTTTTGTGGGTAAGGAACCCATAAAACTCCAGCTATTGAACCCCAAAACCCAGGCTTTCATACATATTCCGTTACGGCCACATTGACTAGGGAATATGCAGCTTTTAAGAAGTAGTAGAAATGCTGTATTTTGGAACAAAGGACACTAAGCAAGCATTGAGGCACCACGCAGGGTAAAACAAACCAAACCAAAGGACATAAGTGCTTCCTGGGCTGAGAAGAGATAAGTCGTGGCACTGCTAGCACAGTTCAGCACCACACCACCAAGACAGAGAAATTCTCCCTTCTCCCAAACAATATATCTTGACTGCAGCTTTTCACTGTTGGCAATGACTGCTCCATTTTTTTTATCCATTTAATCTTATGCATCTGTAGTGGGTTTTGCCATCCTATTTTGTACTGTTGTATATGCACAGTGGGGCTGAGAAGGCAAACTACAAAATAGAGCAGCACAGCAGGCTCAGGAGAGTAGGAGAAACAACAGAGAACCAAGCCTCCAAGGGGTGCTGCCCCTGTTTGGACTTAGTCCCCGTTGCCTTTCACTGAAATTGGTGGTTTCTTTAATCACCCCAAGCCTTGCCCTGTAGGATGCTGGACACTTTTCTTGTTTTGTTTGGAGAGTATTCAGCATATTCTGGACACCACAGCTTTGTGCCTTCCCTAAATCAGTTCAGCTAGCAGTCCCTGCAGTATACTATAAAAAATTTATCTAAAAAATACATGAAGGAAAGGAAGCACTTAAAAGTGCTCTGAAATATTTGGTCATGAAAAACAGGCTTAGAAAGATAGGCCTTCACAGACCTCTTGGGTCATCAAGACTACTTCCCTGCTATCGTAGCCAAACACATCATATAATTCCTTTCAGAAACTCATTATACTCCATCTTAAAAGTAGCTTGGGGTTTTTTTGTTGTTGTTGTTGTTTCCACTGTTCTCATTGGAAAGCAATTGCAGAACATCGCTATTCTGTTGTTTGGAAACCTGCTTCCAATTTCCATCCTAAATTTATTCATGACCAATTTATACTCATTTGTTCTTGTGCCAATGTTGTCCTTTAGTTTAAATAGATGTTTTCTCTTCCTGGAGCTTATGCCCATGCTGTATTTATAGCGGCCTCCCTCAGCCTTCATTTTGCCAAACTACCCTCACACTTAAGCTCTCCCTTCCCATGGTCACTCTGTCTTTTTTGGTAGCTTCACAAAAGTGAAGTGAATCATTTGTGAACTGTGTGCACTATCCTGGCTGATTTCTAATATGTGTCTCTTACACTGTTACCAGCATTTCACTACCCTGGTGAAAATACCTTGCTCTGTACGGACCATGTCTTTCGCTGCCTTATTCTTTTCTTATCTATGAGCATGCAGGTATAGTAGAAACCTGATTAACAAGACCCAGGTGCATGAACTTGCACTCTTCTGAATTTCATCCCGTTTATTCTATCCTGGTCCTCAAGGTCACTCAGTTCCTTCTAAATGAGAGTTTTATTCATCTCTGCAGTGACAGTACCTCCCTCCCTTATGTCACTGGTAAATTCCATTAGCACATACTTATTTTTTATGGGATCATCATTAATAAAAAAGGTTAAATAATATCAGGCCCAAGACTGATGCTTGGGAAGCTCTACTATCTTCCCTCAACACTGATCTTCTCCTACTACTCACTTTCTCACTCACTTTTCAATTTCTGTACTAATCTCCCATTGTAGCTAACAATTTCCCACATGGCACCATACTAAATGCTATACTTAAGTTTAGATAATTAGCTCTAAGCACTTCCTTTGTCTAGAAAAATCAATTATGATGATATTTCAGGTACCGGAACTTGTAGAAGTACCTGAGAAGTGGAGGTAGGGGAGACAAAATTAAATTACCTTAAGTTTTTTGAACACCTGCAAAGATTCAGGCTGATTTTCATTTTCAGATGAGCTGCTTCATTCATCCCTAGCGATGACATTTTCATACGTTGTTGAATTTTATAACAATTCTGAATATTATAACACTAATGCAAGAGCATCATTAAAATTCTCAGATATTATTATTTTACTGAAAATAAGAATGACCTTCAGGACCTTCATGAAATTAATGCTACTGCAGAACTGTTATAGGAAGGCCTTGTATAAAGGGCTATAAAGCAAGATAAAAAGTAAAATACCTGTATTGGTACTTTTGCTGATACAGCAGTATTATCGTAAATGCCATCCCTGTAGAAGTACTGAAAAAGCAGCTTCAAAATCAGCAGCTGTTGCAATGTTTTTGAAAAAATATTTAACTGGCAAAATGCCACATTAAAACACAGCTAACTTTAAATATGATTTTCATTATTTCATGTCACTTTCATTTTTAGTGTAATCTAACAAAATATTCAGAACTGTGTGGAATAATATCTGCAGACAGAGACTTGCTATTCACATGTGAAAGTAATGCTGAGATTCAGTAAAATGTTGGTTATTCTACAGAGTATCTGCAGAGTCACCGATATCATGTTTCCCTTTCGAGCTGAAATGAAAGATTGGAAAAAACAGGCTACAATTAGTAAATGTGCAATTAGGTGTAAGGTTCTGAGCATCAATTCATAAGGAGAACCCAAAGAAATTTTGGCTTAAAGTTCACAGATTAGCATATATTTCTACAGCCTCCATGTTATTCATGATATTCTATGCATGTTGCTTGGGGAAAAAAA